TAATTAAAGACAGGCAGTGGCTACTTCTCAGCTCCTCCAATCCGTTACGAAGGTAGGGCCTCTTTGATTCATAGGATTTTCAAAACACGGGAATAGAAAAAACATGAGATTAGAGTGGAATGTCGTCTTGAATCTTATAGGATTGTACGAGTGTTTGATTGTGCATAGAAAAGACGCGGGATTCTTTCAAACAAGTTTGAGTGGATGGGGTGTTTCCTATGAAATTTAGTGCAAATCAATCCTGTGAAAAAATTTCTATGGTTTACAATCCTTCGAATCAAACAATCAAGATGGAAAAATTTTCTAAGAATTAGAATGCTCCAAAATCCTTTAAGAATTCTTTGAATCAAAAAACCCGTAGTATCATACATCAGTATTATATGCATGATACTAATATACTCCTTCCGTTCCATAATATAAGGACGTATTTTATACTAGTGATTCCACTACACCGGATTGTAGCATGGCACAAACCGTGCATGGTAGTAGGTTTGACGAACGAAAGCAAGTTTATACTACCATTAAAAACTAGTCTCTGCATAATCCAGGAGAATGCCAAATCCATGGTATGATTGACTGACAACTGATTTGCGTGCAATTAGGCTACGCTCTCTCTCGAATTCGCTCGATCGGCGAAGGTGACGGGGCTGAAAACGAAACGGCGGCTCCAATCGAGCGAGCACCAAAAAAATCTGCGTACACCGCGACGCTGCTGCTAACGACTGCCTTTCGTGAGCGACCGAGCGAGCGAGACAGTAGCGTCCTCGCTCCACACGCCAACCGCTACACGCCGTACGTATGCGCCACCCCGGCCGTGCACCCACCGAGAAGTAGAGTGGCCGAAGCTGCTCTGCCCTGCTGCCGACTGAGCCACTGTCTCACCCGAAAAACTGGTGCGGGAGGCTGACCGGCTGGCTCTTGTATTACGCATGGGCATTGCTTTTTCTGGCCGACCACCGCCGTCGTCGTCGCGTGACGGAACGGCGCCCCCGCCGGCCGGTTGGTCGATTCTTCCGCTGCAGCGTGCTACAAAAAGTTGGAAAAATGTAGTAAGAAATTCAAAAAAAAAAGTATTGGTGTTTGGGGAATTAAACGCGTAAAAAAAGCGCGTCAATTGGCCACGATCATTCCATCCTGAAACGAAATGCCGACATGAATCAACCAACGCTGGATCAGGACCTCGGGCCGCGGTCAGATCGCTTGCTTCGGCGCACCGGAGAATGTGCATCTTGTTCCACCGGGCTTCACCTTGAGCAGATAAATGTAGTATGTTCTACTATGTGCTTCAGAGGCCGGCGCGGCGCATCTCCAGTTCACGTACTCCCATCCTGCTCTGTTACCTGTAAGCATTGTTGGACGTACTGTACTGGGGATCTGTTACTCTTGCAGTCTTGCAGCATTGTTTACCTGCTCCGAGTCCGAGAAGACGTATCGCAGAAGCTTCCAAGCTGGCATATGTTGCAGATATCAGTTCCCAAGCCACTGAACGGAGGAACTGATCATCGATCCTCCCAATAGTATCTTTTAGTGCATCCCCAACAGATCTAATCATGCACTCTTCGGTCGGTGGAGTCAGCGAGAGCTCCCCATGCCATGCTCCCACTCTCTTCTTGAATGAAAACAATCCATCTCCTCGGCCGGTCGGTGGAGCTATCAACGGGATGGGATTAGAGCATCTCCAGTCGCGTCCCCAACAAACCCCTAAAACGTTTTTTTAACGCCGGCGGTCGAAAATCGGCCCAGTCACGCTTCCCGAATGTCATTTAGCGCCGCTTTGGCCCGAAATAACAACCGGCGAACCCGAGCCGAACCTAAGTGCCCGAGGGTCGTCTGGAGGCGCCGGCAGAAGCGAAAAGGGGCGTGGGGACGCTCTGTCGACGAGAGGAGGCCCTTTTCTCGTCGTTTCCTCTCGCTTTCTCCACTCAGTTTCCCTCTCATTCTCCATTCCTCCCGCCAATCTCCTCCTTATCCCCTCCCAGCCGGCCGCCATGCCGCCGAAGAAGTATGCGACCCCCCGCGCCGCAACGGATGCCACCGCCGCTGCCACCCAGCCGAAGCAGAGGAAGCAGACGACAACAAAAGGGGTCGAGAAGGGAAACACGCCGAGTCGGCTACCGCACGTGTGCAAGAGTCCATCGAGCATTGCCTGCCGACGCTTAGACCTGGGGCGCCCTGCGGAAAGAGAAAACCAAGGCGCGGTGGTCGGCGTTGATGACGAACAACACCGTCAAGCTCGACCTGCTCCGGACTAACGTCGCCGCAAAGAAGAGGAACACTGACCTGGCTTTCCTGATGGGCGGGGCGGACATGCTCCAGAGCGACGACGAGCAGCTCAAGGCGTGGTACCTGGCAGAGCGCGGCCTCATCCTGAACCAGATGCCGTCGACAACGCCGCCAACTCCCACGCCGACGCCAACGCCGACGCCAAGCCCGAGCGATGATGCCTCCACGACACCCGACAGCATAGAAGTCGCGCCGACGCCGACTCCTCCGACGCCGGAGGCCGACACCGTCGTTTGATGCATTGCCTACTCGTCCTTCCTTTTTGCACGCCGAACTTTTTATTTGATCGTCGAACTGTGACGCTGATCGCCGGACTTGTGACATTTTTTAGAGTGGGAATGGACCAAATTTGAATTTACGACGCCTTACAGACGGCATCTAGGGGCGTGGTTGAGACCTAGATCGCCCCCAGAGCCTAAAAATCATCGAGCGAGCGCCCGAAAGAGCATCGGCCTATACGCTGGAGGGTCGAACAAGTGGAGATGCTCTTAGGCCAGACTGCACGTTCGGTATGTCGCTCGGGCTCGAGATGTCAATGCTGCTGAATACAACGTCTTTGTACACACATCATTACGCTGTCACGAGTGACAACCATCGGTCGGTCCATGAATTGGTCGCCAGGCGGACGAAAGCGGACGCGTGTCTGTTTGGATCGACGCGTTGGGCCGACTTTTCTGTCCACGTCCCAAACGAACGGCGACAGACGAAATGAGTCGCCCCATTGGAGTTGCTCCCAATGCTGCTGAATACGGTCTTTGTACACACATTAGTATTACGCTGTCACGAGTGACAATGAAACGGGCCAGCTTCAGAGTTGCAATTCCACACGATCCTGGCCAGATAATCAAATCCTACCACCGGGACGTACTCGCGGGCTAGTAAACAAAGCCCCCAGTTGCAGTTGCATCAAGATTATTCTGCTTTGCTCGACTGGACCTTTTTCCCTCAGCAATCGCAAAGCGATCGGGTCCTTTCTCCGAAAGAGAATAGGGTGGAAAGGCTCGCTCCACCAACCACTGTATCCGTTCCGGGTGGTACCACATACCACCGGCAAAGATGAGCTCTGCCCGGCACGGCATGAAAAGGCCACGGAAAAGGCGGTCGATTTCCGCATCCGTCCGTTCTCCACATGCCACGATGCCCGCGGCTCTTTACTCGTCGGCTCACCGTGGACAGGCAGGGGAACCTATTCTACTCTTCTACCTGAAGATTTGCGGCGATGCTTTGCAGCGTTCCAGCCTCTCTTCTCCTTTTCAGATTCAGACAGAGGAAAGGCAGCTCTGTTATCCTTACCTTGCTTCTTTCTGCAGGTGATTCAGACTACTGGGAGTGCAAAGGAGCGCCGTCCGCCCGAACCAGCCTGCCCACTGGTTGGTTGATGATGAGATTCAGTGCAGAGCACCGCACCCAGACACTTTGTTGTTAGGAAAAGGAGGAGCTCGCCGGTGCACGGAATAATAATGTCAGTGCTTGACTTGAGGTCACGTTTTCTTAGCGTGGGGGGTTTGCCTTGCTGTGCTGGGTGCGAGTATATGATGCCTACCAGCGTCAAAATTCATGGGACCGACTCATCACTTATCCTGCTTGCCTTTCGGAACTGGCCTTGTTTATTCAGGCCCTGGAACCTAACGATACGTGCTGCCATGTAAAGTACTAGGGATAAGAAAGCAGGTTCGTTGTTGTACCAAAGTAGTAACAAGAAAGCAGGCTGGAAATTTCACGCGCTGAGACCGCATGGAAAGAGCTGGAGACCTATGTCTCTCTGGTCTGGTGCACAGTTTGGAGCGGCCAAGCAACCAAATCAAACAACACCGTGTGTGCTGCTTGCCTGCACGCATGCATATCCCCGCGTCCGCGTGTGTTCGCGGCTAGTATGATCTGAATGTGAGAGCTTGCTTCTTTCTGCTCTGCCTGTACACCTTCAGAGAGTTCGCAAGCTCATTTACGCCATTCTAGCGGCGCAAAAGGTGGGTATTCGTCGTCAGATAGGATACGAACGAAGCATCATTCATGCGCACAGCAAGAGTCTCTTGGACAGAAAACTTGGTAAAAGCCAGAGAGCACGTCACGTACTGCGATTGTGCAGCTAAAAACCATGTTTTCCTGGGGAGCACGATGAGTAAGTAGACCAAAGACTACTTTTTTTCTTCTCTTTGAGGTGAAGAAGAAGCAAGTACTTTGAGTGGGAGGGGGATCCTCCAGGCCCATCCAGGACAGCCCAACACACAAAGCCCAAGGCCTTATCGGCATGAGGTTCACATTGGCAACAGCAGTTTCCCCAAAATTGTCTAAAAAAAGCAATTTCCCCAAAAACAAATTTGTCAACAGCAGTTTCCCCAAATTCTGTACCCTTCAAAAAAAAATTATACAGAAAATTTGCACAAGCTGGAAGTAAACAGTAGTAGTGCAGTACAAGTGCAGTGGAAGATGAAAAATCCAATTGGCATATAGTATAGCAACGAATTTGCAAACTTGAATTTACAATGTGGTGGCGATGAAGGAATGAGCATAAGCAAACACACTTGCAACGGCAAAGAAATACGCTGAACCGCCCGGAGAAACGTAGCTGGTTCGATTCGCCTCGTTAATCCTTCTCTGCCATTTTTATTCCGCTAAGTTCAGAAACGAATTCAGTTAGTAATTCGCAGAAACTGGAGTAGCTATCAACCCCGAGCAGACGGCCGCCGGGCGGGCAGTGGGCACGGTGATCTCATCTGCTAGACCATGTCGCTGATGAGCTGCACGTGGCTGCTCCGGTGCCGCTCCACGAACATCCTCGACGCGCCCGCCACCGTCTTCTTCCACGTCTGACCACGCGCGCACAACCAACCAATGATGCAGTGTTAGCCGAGGCGATCGAAATTGAGGTTCAGAAATGACGTGACAGAGAAACGGCCAGCTTACCCGCTCCAGCGCGGCGAGGAAGTGCGCGACGCCGGCCTCGTCGAGCCGCGCGCCCCGCTTCGCACGCGCGTGGCCGCCGTTGCCCTTGCGCGCGGCGGCGGAGGAGGAGGAGGCCGTGGTGGTGGTGGGCAGCAGCAGCCCGGCCCTCCAGTCCGTGGACCCGCCGATGCTGCGCCGCCGCTTGGGCGCCGCCAGCTCCAGGTCCGCCCCGGACGCGCTGGAGTCTCTGGCGGAGAGCCCCGACGCGACGCGGCGGGACGAGCGCTTGCGGCGCAGCGCGAGGCTGCGGCGGGGCGGGGTTGACCGCTGGTTGGAGGAGTCGCCGTCGTCCGGGTCGGCGAACTTGCGGAGCAGCTCGTCCGAGGAGGCCTTGGCCACGTGCTGCACCGACACCGCCTCGCCGGCCTCGCTCTGTGATGGCCGCGCCGGCGTCGTCGCCATTGGATTGGGTTGGATTGGCCGGAGGGGGAGGAGGTGCGGTGAATGGCACAGTAGCCGTTGGGGAGCAGGAAGTCCACCGGGACAGGAATTCAGGATTGATTGGTGGATGGGAGTGGTGCGGGAGATCGGGAGGGGATGAGGAGGAAGAAGGGGGCGCGGGATTTAAGCGCGGGGAAGGCGAGGAGGAATATAGCCGTTGCGGAGCGCGGGTAGGTGGGATCCCACTTGGCCGCGACGCACGCTGGTGCGGTCGTGGTCGGCACCTGTGAGCAGAGTGCATCGCTGGACGGCCTCCTGGGGTGAGCGCTTTTCTTTCTGCCGATCGTGTGGTCGCTGTGCTGGGCTTTTTTTTTTTGCGGGTGATGACCACCGTTTACTTGTCCCGTGACACCGGCGGGCGGAACGGAAGGGAATCTCCATCATCATCGCTCGTCGTCACCCACGGGATTCAGGCCGTTAGGCTAGATCTGCTGACCGGCCGGCATAATAAATGACAGCAGCACTGACAGCACGGCGCCCGTGAGCCGTGGAGTGGAGTACGTAGTGGTACATACTTGCTCCGTCGTGCACTGCAGGCGAGTAACTCTGTTCCAAGTACATATCGTTGTGGGTGATAAACACGGCCGAGGAGGCATGCCAACACAATGATCGAGTGTGGCCTCTGATCTGGTACACAGACGTCACAGGTACCGGGTGTGTTTGGTTCGTGCCCAACTTTACCCCTACCAAAAAAAAAATTCTGAGATTAGCCAAGATTTTTGTTGAGCTTTCGCTTGCCATGAAGAGGCCAACATCAGCTCCAAAAAATGAACTGGGGTCGTCAAAAGAGCATTGCCATAGGTATATCAAAAAGCAAGCGGTCGAGAATTCGTAGGATGGACTTTGGTGACAATCCAAACACCAACAGGCACGGAGATAGGGCCCATGACAGCCTGCATCTAGTCATGCCATTGCAGTAACTAAGTTCAGGGTAAAAAGAAAAACTAAATTCAGATCACGTGCGATTGCACCTCATCAATAAGAAAAAGGGAAAGTTTATGTGCTTGCAATAATCTGGCAGCAACAATAGGCACGCATGCACGCACGCAGCAGCAAAGAAGAAATGGAACGAACACAGGCACTGTCTTTCTCCAAAATAACAACACTTGCTGTCATGAGCCAAGATATGGCTAGAAATAACAGTGTGGTAATCCGTGACTTTTGGCTAGGAATATGTAATACAATTATTCAAGAATCTCGGATGGAAATGACAGCAGAGGATGCAATGATCCAGGGCTATCATCAAACAGCAGCCGGGGACAAGTGTATATACAACTGAAAAGGTGCAGAACTATCCTAACATTGATAAACACCTAAGATTTCGCAGCCCCGAAGACGAGACCGACGATCCAGGTGAAGATCGATCCGATGACCCACAAGAGCAGGAAGAACACAGCGATACCGGCCAAAATGGTCAGGACTGGCGGGCCATGTGGAGAAGAGTTGGCGTCGCCGGTGCTGCTCTGTTTTGAAACCTCGGTGCTAGGGGAATCTGTCTCTGATGCAAACAGAGCTTTCTTCCTTGCCGCATTCTCAAACCATCCAGAATTTCTTGACGAAGGGTAAGGATGCCTGCAGCGCAAATCAGTGAGAGTGATAAACAGATAGGTGACGACTCAAATATTTTCAAGTGGCATGAGGTTGCGCACAAAATGGACAACTGAAATTTCTAACATGTAGGTGATTCTTTTGCTGTTAGCAGTTATCCCAATTTTGCAAAGCCACAGATGACAGATTCGATCCACATAGGTGCATCAGATAAGCCAAATAACAAAACTTATCTATACTAGTATGTGGTGTATTAATTTTGAACTGAACTAAGTGTCAATCCTATCCGTTGGTCTTCTAAATATAACGATTGGGAGCAACCCCTCCGGTTTTGAGACGAACAGTAACGTGCTGCGCCCTCCACCGTGGTCTAGAAACATCGCGTCAACCTTCCTGTAAAAAGGGCCCATGCCTCCTGAGCCGTGCTGCAGCATGAACTGGGTATGTTGTTCAGCAGAAGCCGGTTCCAGTGCATGGGGATTGCACTTGTACTAATTCCTAAAACCAATCCTACTGTGTTTCCTTCCTCCAGGCATTCTATGATCTTTTCTCCTTTACCAAAATCAGTGTATAAATTTAAATACTACTGTAGTAGCATGTTAGGTATTCCTAAGACTGAGTTAACCCCGATGCATCATGAAGCACGGGATAAATCACTGTGATATGCTACGTATTTCCAAGACTGGCGCAGCTAATTGTTTGGCAAGAAGGGGGAGCCTATGTTGTCAATTCTTCCAGTTGGTTTCTGCAACACTACGAAAACCTACAGATCCCAGAAATCCACCCCCTTTCTTCCCCTGCGCCAGTATTGGCAAAATGGGGTGCCCGCACGGCCGCCGCAACTCCAAATACATCAATCAAGAAAGAAAGCGGCGGAGTAGAGCGTAACTACTGATGGTACCTCCCCTGCCTCCGGCCAATGCCCGTTGTTAGAAGGAACGCTAGGGTAAGGAAGGGGGTGAGGAGGGAGGGCATCATACGGCCGGCACGCACCTGGAGGAGCGACGGAGGGCGATGCGGGCGCCCCGGGGCGGGAGTAGAGAGGCCGCGCGCGAAGGCCGGCGGGCAGGGGGCCGGAGAGACGGCAGGGTCGCGGCGAGGTGGGGGGAGAGTGCGGCGGCCATGGCGACAGAGGGGGGAGAAGGGCGAGGGCGCGCGGATTGGTTCAGTAGTCTAGTCGGCCCAGCTCCTGCTCTGGTTTTGGCACTTTGCTGCGTGCGATGACGAGCTGCGACCACAGGTTTTGGGGTTTCAGGATCAGGAGGGGCTCTCGAAGAGAAAAATACTCCCTCCGTTCCTAAATACTTTGTCTTTTTAGGCATTTCAACAAGTGACTACATACGGAGCAAAGTGAGTGAATTTACACTTTAAAATATGTCTACATACATCCGTATGTAGTAGTCATTTGAAATGTCTAGAAAAACAAATATTTAGGAACGGAGGGAGTAGTTTTGTTTCTCTTTCTTTTTTTGCGGGAACAAATAGTTCTATTTCTTGATGAGAATTCCGACCTAAGGAGTGCTCCTGTTTCTCAAGGTAGTACATGTATGGATAAAACAGGTGACCATTTGCACCAACGAGAATGTGAATATGCACTCCTGGCCATACCTGCCGGTGTGCTTCCAGACAGGCATACTACACAAGAACACAATCTGTTTCGGAGAAGACTGACGCATTTGCTAACACTAATGGCAACAAAACACAAGTTCTGACGAACGCATCAGCTGACGGAAAGTGGGAATAATCCCGCAAAAAAAAAAGATGGAAACTGGGAATAGAAGCATGAGCTTCTTCTATTTGTTTCTTAGCTACAACCAAGCACAGGGCTACCAAACCTAGGTCATCACATCTAACAATGAGCTGCTAAGCTACAGATACAGGTAGCCCTTACATGAGCCTCTACGGGTAACACAATAGCTTGTTCCCTCGTGAAACCTTAAAATTCAAGATTTGGATCTGCATAGTAGCGCTACAACAGAACCTTCTTGTGTGCACTCCATGCATGGAGCAGAGTCAGGCGTCGAAGCTTGTTGAGAAGCTCAAGGTGCTGCATTCCAAGTTCCTCAAGTTGAGCTGCATTAACATACATACGGATATGCTTGTCAGCAAACTACAATCACACATTTTATATTAAAAAAACAGAACAGAGGAATGGAGCTTATGGTCTCATAGCTAGCCCTTTGTTCTACTTCATGCAGTTATTATTATTGTTTAAAAGTAACAGAGCAAACCATTAATAGATTGTAAACGTGGCAGATGCAGAGCTACCGGTACATACCATGACAGCGATTCCACTCTCACAAAATCTTGGAATGCTGATTAGCCTGACCTGCTGCTTTTCCGTTCCTGGATAACAAGGGTGTTAAGTTGGGTGCTGAAACAACATATGGATTTCACTTGAAGTAGTACCTTTCAACAATCGAGTCTCGTATCTGTCTTGATTCCCGACAAAGTAAACATGGGGGCAAGTTTCGATGAGGAAAGGGTCCTTGTCTGTGTATGGATAACATCCTGGACAAGACAGATAAGTATGTAAGGATCATCTAGCTTTAGATAACATAACTACCAATCATGAAAATCAACTAAAATAAATGAATGATAACGATTAACGGCGCTGGGTCATTTTACCCAACAATATCATCATTACCACCAAGGCACTGAAGTTTGAAATGCCTAGTGAGTTACCTAGGCTGTTCGGTGCAGTCGGAGCAAGATGGCGCCATTTCAATGTCCTTTCCATGAATTCCAGCCGATCTTTGGCATCCGAGTACCTGTAGAGGTCATCTATGTTCTGCCCAGATGTTCCAATAAACCTGCATACAGAATTTATTGCATAAAAATCTCCAAGTTGCTTTCATTTAAAGAAAGTTAAAGAAGCAGTGCCACTCACTTGACATTGTCAAGATCGAATTGATGTGGATTCGGACATGATGAAAATGTATTGTAGGTGGATGCTCCAGAGAAAAGGCATCTATGCAAAGGCTACAATAAATAAATTAAGAAATGAGTTAGTAATGCATGCACAAAAGAAACTACTCCCATTGATTGGTTCTGATACACAATTCAATAGCTATTCATCAGCATCAAGAACCCACCTGCTGAGGCAAAGCAAAATTCGCTGGATCATTACACCCTGGCATTATATCTACAGGTAATGATGCCACCAGCTGCAGAGGAAATGGGATTACATCAAGATCTACAACAGAGACCGGAGCAGTCACACTGGCAAAATTTGAAGGGAAAGGGTAAAACAGTTGAACCTGAGTCAGCATTATATCCAGTTCTTTGATTGGCTCAGCTATCCTTGGTTGATCTTTTGCAGCTACTGTCTGAAAGATATGATACATACTAGTAAGCAATTTCACAAAGTAGTCACAAAACATGTGAAATGAAATGCCGTTACCTGGCCATTCAAGAACCTTGGTGCAATATGTACTGAATTTCCAGCAACCACAACACGAACTATCTTTGATGCTATGGCTTGCTCCTAATTAATTTCAAGAAAGATCATCAGAATTAGTGTCTCACTCGAGTATAAAAACTCTTATACTTGATAATGACAAATGACATACATTCTCATCACCCAAATGCCCAGTGACATGGTCAATAAGAAGTTGGAACTGCAGAGGATTGAATGTGCTGCTCCCAACACTTAATCCCGACACAAAAACAACATACTTGTCCTCATCTGTAAAAGAAATGAATGTGATTCCACAGCAATTTTAACACGACTAGAAATTTGTAGCAACATGGAACAATATTCAGGAATGAGCGTCACAGGATCCGGAGAATATTACTTATGCTAGGCAACACAGTTTGAGGAGGAAGACCAGCCTCCATGACATCTTCAACAAGAAAGTTGCCAGCACTTGTTTCCTTCCCGTGAAGAGCTACTACAACTCCTGTAGATGATCAAGTGTTATTCCAAAGAAACATGACATGCTGGTTAAAAGTACAAAACAAATTGTACAGTGCCGAGTCTTTTAAGTGACAGTCAAACTTACCAGTCACATAGGCTGCTGGAGGTATGGCTCCTGCAAGTGCAACTCTTCCACTTTCATCTTCCAGAATAAGATTATCGTCAGAGTGCATGAAATTGTGTGGCTTAACAAGAGGGATTGCCGACCTCTGCAGCACAGAAAGTTCATGCAGAAGCACATCAGTTTTTTTCAGACAGGCATCATATATGAACGCATGAAAGCACTATCATAATGTTACATTACCTCCTTTGAGTATTCATCGAGAATAGAAGGCTTCAGTTTCATGTGCTTGTATAAAGTCCCAACAAGCACACAATCTTTTCCCTCTTCGAGTCCGAGCACCGTAGTGACTGCAAGATAGGGAAAAGATGTGACTTTAATTATATCTTAATTCACAAAGCAGAGCACATGTGTGATCCACTAGCATGAAGAAAACGTAACTACAGAACACCAAAACTCCTGTTGAGGATTCAAATCGGTAAACCCCCAGAACCTGGATCCAAATTTCCAATCTTGCTAACAAGGAGGCGGCTTTATTAAGATTGTAAATATAGAGTTTAATTACGAAATGATGGTGTTCTTAGCGATATTAACTCCATTGAAAAGATCCTATGCCACAGACACAGAGCACAACAGCCAAGTGAAATGATTTCAATTCAACTTCAATTCCACACCAACCAAAGCATTTGATAGCTACCAGTTCCGGAACTTCATGAAAGCAGACAAACTAAATTTAACATGAGCCTGAACACACCCAGGAGACCGTAATCGGCCAATCAATGTCCGGAGCTGCTTAACCTAAACGGAGCTGAAAGGGCCTAAAATTCGACATTCACAAGTGACAACTGCACTTGCCAAATCCAACTGCACATGGATTAGAGAGTAACATTTCAGCAGAGAAACCCTAACTCAACAAGCCATACATACTGTATCACAAATTCACAGCAGACACCGAAATCAGGCAATACTCTGGATACAATTTCTATCCATGACTACCTTCAGACAAGTCATGCTCAACTCTCCTAAGCATCGATGGGGAGGGAGGGGGGAGGGTTTCCGTACCGGGGAGGTGCGGCTTCCGGGAGGGGACGAGGGCGTGGAGGAGGGTGCGCATGTGGTGGAGGCGGGTGTAGTAGATGTGGCTGTACTGCTGGCCCTGGTACCTCTCCCCCTGGATCGTGTACCTCTCGTCCTGCACGCGCACGGCCGCCGCTCGCCAAATCAGTCAGGTCCACTGGCCCCGAACGGGGGCGAATCGAATCGGATGGGGGCGGCGGGGGTGCTTACCAGGTTGCTGTAGTCGGCCTGCTTCCTCTCCATGGCGACCGGCGGCGGCGGCGGCGGCGGCGCGGAGTTTTGGGGGAGGGGCGTGGGTGGTGGGGTTTGGACCGGTCTGTGGGGGTCTCTCTCTCGTCGTCCGCGCGTGTCTCCTTCCCGCCCGCGCCCAAATTTTATCCGCCGCGGGCGCGCTCCGTGGTTTCGTCGGCGATGGAAGCGGTGCGGCGTCACTGTGGCAGGGTGACACTGGCCTTGCTCAGGCCCGGGTAGTAGGAAGGACGGAAGATCTAGCACTTTTGTGGCCCAACCCGATGGACTCCCGTGACCTCACGGTGCGCTCGGCCCACCTAGAATGATTTCGTGGGGCGAGTGACTGTCACGGAACTACTCTCCGATATACTTTTCTCAACAACAACAAAAAGCTACTCTCCGATATACTGGATTTCAGCATAATTTATCTCCCTTGCAATTAAAAATCTCAGAGGAGAAGGAAATGGAGAAAGGGAATCAGAACCAGAGAGAGAGAGAGAGATGTACAAAGTACTTCCTCTTGACGAAAATTCAATTCGGTGCACGGGTCCAGATGAATCTGGTGAACATCTGTTTGATTGCATGATGTTTTTTATCTTGGAAGATGTTTGAGTGCATGATGTGCGTGCAAAATTTCATTCCGTTTTGACACCTGTGGAGCTCGTGGCAAAAAAGAGAAAACCGGACAAAACAGTGCGTGAACAGTAACCTTACTCACATAGCCAAATTTTGTCTTTTTTGTCGCTCGCTCCTCGAATGTCGAAACTCCACCCAATTTTGCATGAACATCACGCACAGAAGCATCTTGCTTGCAAAAAAAAGGATATTTTTTCCTATTTTTTATGATTTTTTTTATTTTGCCGGGGCTCGTCTGAGCCTCGGCGCTGAAACGTCGCTCTCTTCCTCTGGATGGGAATATAAACTGGACATGGATTTTTTAGGCTTGATTTGACTACCAAAACATGTGCTGTATGTCATAAAAATTATATATGTGGAATCCTTGTCGAATGAACTTCCTAAACACATATTTTTTGGGAGGAATATTCTATATGTATCGCAAGTTAATTTCATGACCAAATTTTCGGTGCTCAACTTATATTCTCATCTGAAGGGAGTAGGTGGGAGGGATAGAGAGTCGTTACAACATTTCCTTTCTTGCCCTCTTCATAGTCTCATCGTCACTTAGGATCAGTTCTTTTCGTGGCTTCTCTAGGCTTTTAGAATAAGCTGGGTAGGGGAGGGGGGATATCAGATGCTCCCGTCCTTGGAGTGCTCCCCATACTTCAATTTGAAAACATTAATTTTAAATGTTTTAAAAATTCTCGATAAAATTGTGGATGTTCACAAGGAATGTGACTATAAACCCCTAAAAATTTTAGGTCCCAACTCAAAATGTACATTGAGATACAAAAAAGACAAATTCAGATGTGAATAGTGTCAAATGTTATTTTTGTCTTTTTATGACACTATTCATGCTAGATTTCACATTTTTGTTTCTCATGCTCGTTTAGAGTTTGGACCTGAAATTTTTAGGAGTTGCAGTTACATTCATTGTGGACTTTTTTTTGAAACTATGATGATTTTTATAGAAAATTTGGAAACTATACATCCTAATGCAGAAAAATCAAAAGTATCACCTTGTCGGTCTTCTGTTGGCCGAAGAGGGACTTTTCGGCCTACCATTGGCCGAAGAGGGACTTTTCGGTCTACCTCTGGCCAAAAAGGACTTTTCAGCCAACAGTTGGCCAAAGAGTCCCTCTTCGGTCAACACCGACTCTACTATTTTAGAAAATTCATATCAATTAGGATTTTTAATATTTTAATTTGATTCTTTTTGCATTAGATTAGAAATTTTATGAAGTTTCTGTAGATATCAAGTTTGACTAGATTTGAAAATTTGAATTTGAATTTTTATTAATTTGCTCAAATCACTAGATTGCCTATAATTTGAGCTAGGAGTATTCTTTTTAGATGGTTCTTTGTGACTTTGTTTATCAGTACTAATTAATTGGTGAATTTTAAGATTATTTAAAATTAGGTTTTCACGAAAACAGTTCTGTTTTAGTGTTTTATAGGTTTTGTGCTATTTCTTTTAATTTTAATTGCTTTAAATTGTTTTCTTTATTTTTTTGACATATTCTTTTAGTTTCTGTTAAGTTATTAGTATATATTTTATTTGTAGTCTTTTTTTGTATTTTATTTTCTTTATCCTCCATTTTCTTTCATGTCGTTCTTTCCCTCCATTTTTTCCCACTATTTTCTTTGCCGCCATTTTCTCCCGCCATTCTTTGCCGCCATTCTCTCCCGCCATTCTTTGCCTCCATTTTCTCCTGCCATTTTCTTTCCTAACATTTTATTTGCCGCCATTCTCTCCCTTCATTTTCTCCCGCCATTTTATTTCCTGCCATTCTCTCCCGCCATTTTCTTTCCCGCTATTTTCTTTCCCGCCATTCTCTCTCGCCATCTTCTTTCCCGCCATCTTCTTTCTTGCCATCTTCACTTCTCAACTTATAAAACGAGCCTCATGTTGTCCACGATCGTAGATAACAACGTCTGACACGGTCTGTGTCTCCTGCGTCGGTGCTGCTGATAGAGTGTGAAACACTGTCTGAGAGAAGTCATAAGTGTTTGCATCTTCGTCATCATCATCGGAGAGTGTTTCACACTTATGACTTCTCTCACACAGTGTTTTACACTCCACATGAAGGCATCATAGTCATCCTCCGTTGATTCAACACTCCTTAGTGTGGCGGGAGAGAATGGCGGGAAAGAAAATGGCGGGAGAAAATGGCGGCAAAGAAGATGGCGGGAAAGAAAATGGAGGGAAAAAGATTGCGGAAAAGTTTTTTTTTCATGTATAAAACGGAAATGGTTCTACAGGATTTATAAGGAACTTTTAAATATAAACTCCTATGAAGCTCAAAACAAGTTTTCTAGTAGGATAAAAGAAATAAAATACAAAAAAGTACTACAAATAAAATAGCTACTGATAACTAAACATAAACAAAAAGAACATGTCAGAAAACTAAAGAAAACAATTTAAAGCAATTAAAATTAAAAAGAAATGGCATAAAACCTATAAAACACTAAAACAGAACTGTTTTCATAAAAACCTAATTTTAAATAATTATAAAATTTGCCAATTAATTACTACTGATAAACAAAGTCACAAAGAACCAGTAGCAAAAAGAATCATCTGGAAAAATACTCCTAGCTCAAATTATAGGCAATCTAGTGATTTGAGCAAATTCATGAAAATTCAAATTCAATCTTTCAAATCTTGTCAAACTTGATATCTACAGAAACTTCATAAAATTTATAATCTAATGCAAAAAGAATCAAATTAAAATACTAAAAATCCTAATTGATATGAATTTTCTAAAACAGTAGAGCAGGTGTTGGCCGAAGAGGGACTCTTTGGCCAACCGTTGGCCGAACTCTCTTCGGCCAACATGAGACCGATAGGTGATACTTTTGATTTTTCTGCATTAAGGTGTATAGTTTCCGAATTTGCTATAAAAATCATCATAGTTTCAAAAAAAATCTTCATTGTGAGCATTCATATTTTTTCTGGAATTTTTTGAAATGTTTAAAATTGATTTTTCTTAAGTTGGAGCATTGGGGGTACCTTAAGGATGGGAGCACCTGATATTTCCCCGGGTAGGGACAACTTATTCTAGCTTATTTTAGAAGTCAGCAAAAGAACTACCCTTAATTAGTTTACGCCCTTGCCGCTGGATGGTCGCGAGACTCTTTTGAGGCGTTGATTTGGCACGCTAGGCTGGGGTGGGCCCATGACATTCTTCCCTCTTTTACAAGTGGCTTGTACCCAAGTTAAACCCTATCAAATCACTGAGTAAAGTGTACTCCTTGCATAGGTCACTACTACCTTCGTTTTTTGATGATAAGTGACGCACTGCATGTGCGACAGTTGTCGTAACCTATGAGTATTATAAAAAAATCATATATTTTTTAACATTTTATCTCTTGAACCGTGTATGCAAATCACAACCATTTTCACAGTTGCATGTCTCATATCAAGTATTTGGAAACTAGATACCATGATAATATGTTTAGAAAGACTTTTTTTATAAAAAACAAAAACATGGAAAAAGGTGAGACCCAAAAAAACAAATACAAAGAGCGAAAGCACAGCCGTGCTTTTTCACCTTTTTGGAAGCACACATGTCACAGTTGTGTTTTTTACTTTCTGGGAAGCACACTATACGGGGCTGTTTGGATTGGAGCCTGGAGCTGCCAAGCCAAAAATTTGGTAGTTGACCAAGTGCTGGCGCTCCTTTGGATGGCCACCAAATAGTTGGCTCGCCCAGGCCGTGGGGGGCTTCCCCAGTTTATTTTCTCGCCAAAGTTGGCAGGGTCGCGGGCGGCTGAAAGCTGCGCCAAAATTTTGGCTTTGCCCACGAATTGGCAGGGCGTCCCGGGGCGTCATCCAAACAGCCTCTACATTTCACATTTCAGGAAGCTCAACTGTGCTTCTCAATTTTCGAATGCGCAACTATGGGAAGCACAGATGTGCTTCATGTCGAAGCAGAACAATGTTTTTTCACATGGAGTGCTTCACCAGAGAAAATAAAACAACAACAAAAAAAAAAATCAAGAAAACACAGGGAAAACCAAAAGCCTGGAAAACAATGTGTGCAAAAAAACGACTTTTTTGGGTATTTGGTTTTGTTTAGTGGTTTTCTGGGCTGCTGGTTTTCATAAAAAGACTTTTCCCTTTTTCTTCACGATTTTTTTCAAATGCGTGAGCTTTTAAAAAATTTGTGAACTTTTTCAAATGTGTTTTTTTGTAAATCGTGTTGTTTTTATCAAATTGATGAACCTTTTAAAATCACAATTTTTTTCCAGAAAAATGTTAACTTCATTTCAAATTCATCAACTTTAAGAATCTTTTTTCAAATTTATGAACTTTTCAAAATTTGCACAGTTTTTCAATTTTACTGACTTTTTTGAAAATTTACTGTTTTCCGAAAATCCACAAACCCTCTTCA